ATAACTTTAAAATGAAAACGCCATTTTAAAAAATAAAGATTTAAAAAATTAAGAATTACAAAAAAATTTTGTTTTTACCAACAGAAAATCGAGCATAATATCGGGAAGTGTTGGAACGAGGTCGAGAAGATGTGGAAGTTAGACAGGACGGTGTTGACATACATATGCTAGGGATGATGTAGATAAATGTCAGGAATAGTTAAGGGATATTATAAAGTCAAGAGAGATATTGGAAGATATAAGGGACAATGTAGGGAGATTCGGGAACTATAATTGCGAAAAGACGTAGACAATGTTGAGGAATTGGAGGATATTAGAAGAAGAATTAGGGATGATGTTGAAAAGATCATGAAGGATATTTAGGCCCACTTTTACCACCTCTTGATAAATTTATCCGATAGATAAATTAGCGCCCCATGGTAATTAATTAAGCCTATCGGATAAATTTATCGAGAGGTGATACAACCGGCCCTTAGAGATACTAGTTAGTACTAGTGTTAAAAAATACCAAGAACTATGTTGAAAACAAATTAAGAGATAATGTTGAAAAACATGAAAACCATTGTTTTGGTAATGAAGTTGGGTTGGTCCTATGTTTAAGAATATCAGGAGTGGTGTTGATAAATGATGAAGCCAGGACAGTGCAAAACGATGTTAGGGATTATGTTGAGAGATATCAGGAACGAATACAAAGATATCAAGAAAGATGTCGAAACATGACGAAAAGGATTTTCAAGAAAAAAAGCTTCCAAAAGGCTACATAATGCTATTCCAAGTCTAAATATTATTCTCAGAAAGCTATACATTGCTGAGAGAACACTGAACGACAACAATAGACGGTTAAAGACTCTATGGAGTAGTGTACTTACTCCAGATGACATAGTACTGCTTCTAAAAGAGTATATATTGCAGACACATGAGTAGATACTGCTGTCAAAAAGCTAGATACTGCTGACAAAAACTAAATACTGATAATAGAGAGCTAAATACTCCTGACCACATGATACTGCTTGCAAAAGATTGTATACTGGTGTCACAAGACTAGATACTCTTGTTAGAAGTTTAGTACTGCTGTCATAAGTCTAAATCCTGCGGCCAAAGACTAAATACTTCGTGCAGAAGTATTATTCAAGAACACATATTTTGCTAATGTGGCTGAATTCACATCCAAATTCACCTGTTAGCAATAGTAACTATAATGCTTCTAAGGTTTGGGTTTAACTCAATAACATTTAATGAATTATGCCAAGTGGTTTCTAAATTGAAAAAATTTTCGTGCTCGTAATATCTCTCTGTTGAATAGTAGGTTAATTAAATCAGTTTTAAACATTCGGGCGCTGGATCGGATTGCTCAAGATTGTTTTGAAGTCAACAGTTATTTACAGGTCGCATTTTACGATCTAACGAAGGCGTTTGACTGCGTGTCTCATAATTTACTTATTAACAAACCAAGCACATTTAATATAAACGCGGATATATAGGTATCAAGCTTATAGAGTCGTAATTGAGTAATAGACTTCAATATGTCTCCGACTGTGAGCGAGATTCTAGTTGTTTACCAATCATACATGGTGTACCACAATGTCAATAATTTGCCCAAAACCCAACCCAAGCCAAAACCATCCCGAGGCATTCAAGTATGATTCTCTTTGCTGATGATACAGTAGCTATGACTTGCGCGAATGATGTCAGTACATTGTATAGCCGTATGATGGATAACACGCGCGATCATCACGAACTGGTTTCAAAGAAATAGACTCAGCATGAACAAATGGTCGTTCTATCCATACTGTTCGAGTTTTTGGAGTCCAGAGTCCAAACTTGGAGTCCATACTATTATTATATGTAGTTCAGACGGCATGATACTGCTTGCAAAGAACTATATATTGTTTACAGCAGTTTAGATACTGCTAATAAAAGACTAGATTGATACTGCTCGCAAAATATTGTATACTCGTGGCATAAGACTAGATACTGTTAAAGGAAGATTACATACTACCAATGAAGGCCTAGATACTGCTATCAGGAGTACAATACTGCTATCAAAAGTATAAATACTGCTGTTAGAAAGCTAGACACTGCTGACTATATGTTGATAATGGATAGCATTTAAAAAACCAAACATTACTAGTAGAAAGCTATACATTGCTGATAGAAGGCTAGATACTGATTTACTCAGTTATACTTTACTGATTTATACTAACTTACTGTAGACTACATGACACTGGCTACGAGAGGATAAATAGAGCAGGCGCAAGATTAAATACTGGTAATAAAAGTGGATATATGTTTTTACAAGACGAGACTATGCTGGCAGAAGACGAGATACTGATAATAGAGAGCTAAATACATTGCGCAGAAGACTACTTACTGCAGATGACATATCACTGTTTGTGTATCACAAAAACTTGCTACTCTTGCTTAATAAAAATCAAAAAATATTGATAATCTTCAACAATTATGAGGATTTATAATTGTTGAAGAATTATTGATAATTTAGCTAAACATGACGGTATACAGCAGTACATGGCACGACATTTTTATTATATAGCACGCCATAACTATTATCTTTAAGGAAAAAACTAAAGAGACAAAAAAGTACCATTAAAGAATGAGCTTTACAACTCATATTTTTTCATGTTAATACTCCATCTATGCTAAATAGTGTCCCTAGCGTGTTTCAAAGTGATCTGCAGAGTAATATACCATGTCTAAGAATGAAAGAACTGTATTATGAAATCCAAAAACTAAATATAAAGAAATCAGTGGGGAAACATTGAAACATCTACCAAAACGAGCGATTACAAAACTATTACACATAATTAATGCTGCTTTTAAACAGAAATACTTCCCAAGCATATGGAAAGTTGCTGAAATAATAATGATACCAAAACCTGGTAAACCCCCCACAGATGTTACATCATATAGGTCAATCTCATTATTACCCTTACTATCAAAACTGCTTGAAAAATTACTATTAAAAAGACTAAAACCTGTCATAGAAGAAAAAGTCCTAATACCAACACATCAATTTGGGTTTCGGAATAATCATTCAACAATAGACCAAGTGCATAGAATAACGAATACTATCGAAATAGCAATGGAAGAAAATAAAGTCTGCTCCGCCATATTTTTGGATGTTGCACAAGCTTTCGACAAAGTCTGGTTAGATGGTTTAAATTACAAACTAGACCAAATACTACCATCAACGTATAGTCAACTACTAAAATCATATCTTTCTGATCGATATTTTAGAGTAAAATACGAAAACGCTTATTCACCAATACATGAAATACGAGCCGGAGTTGTGCTTGGCCCAACATTGTACTTACTCTACACATTCGACCTTCCTCAGGTACCAGAAACTTTAACAGCTACATTCGCAGACGACACAGCGATCTTGGCTGTTGTAGAAAATGAAGTAGTTGCAGCAAATAAGTTACAATTGTCATTAAATTCAATATAAAACTGGACCAAACGATGGCTAATAAAACTAAATACAAATAAATCGACATATATAAACTTTACTTACAAAGTAAACTATGTCCCAGTACACATAAATGGCAATGCAGTCCCTTACGCCGACACCGCAAAATATTAGGAACTTGATATCAAATTTAGACACCTATATTGGCAGAACATCAACGCTATCACTAAAAAACAAGTTGTTAATATATAAGCAAGTATTAAAACCAAAATGGACATACGGAATCCAACTGTGGGGTTGTACCTGCAACACAAATGCAATTCAAAGATTGCAGAACAAAGTATAAGGTGCATAGTGAATGCACCCTGGTATATAAGAAACACCGACCTCCATCGCGACTTGAAAGTAGCATCGGTGTCATTAGAAATTGCATCATTCGCATGTAAACATGAGAAAAGAATGCACGATCATTTCACAACGAGGATGTCCTGCGTCCCTTTCAGCGGATGAAGCCGTTCGATTTAGTAACCTAGTGCCCTAGTCGATTCAAACGCAAGCAAAAGTGCGGAATTATAACAAAAACAATAATACCCAATACGTGTGTTCCGCGTATCTCAGTGTGCGCGTTTTTGGTGTTTAGTCTTAAAACGGTAAAAATATGACAATATTTATATTATCTATATTGTGGGTAAAGCAGACTGGACCACTGGGAAAAGCTGCAAAACATTATCTAGTTTAATTTAGTGTTGAAAATAGGTAACTAATTAGTATGTATTTACTAGGTGTTATACAATTGTGCTATGCAAAATATAGAAAAAAAAAAAAATGTTAATACTCCATGGTGTTAAAAAGTTAAATAAATTTTTGGCAAAACCTTCATTATTCATAGCTCGAAAATAAGAGAGTTGCGAACCTATGTTTATATAAAAAACTTGTATTATTTTGACAAGTACTAAGTTCTAGTAAAGTTTGTCGATTAAATTCTGAAGAACCCTGTATACAGCAGGCCCCTGCAGACACAAGATTATTTTTTTGTAATTGAAGTCTGAATAACGCTCTTGAAAGGCCATCCAATGCCAGCAGAAGATTAGATACTGATAATGGAGGCTTAAATACTTTGTACAGAAGTCTACATACACCAAATGACAAGATAATGCTTGCAAGAGACCATATGCTGCAAGTACAAGATTAATTACTGGTAATAAAAACGTAGATACGAGAAGACGTAAATACTTTGTGCAGAAGTCTACTTACTGCAGATAATAAAATATTGAACTCTCTGAAAATTTTAATGGACGGATTTCTGTTATCTTATGCATTTGGTACAAAACTGGATACAATGGAAACGAAATACAACTTGTAGAATACCACTTATTCCTCGCAGAAGATTACTTATCATTTGATTACGAGATCATTACTAGATATAATAGTGGTACTTCTGTAACTTTTTGACTGACTCTGTATACTTAAATTTTACTTAAAGCAAAAATCTAAATTATGTAACTAATTAATGACTTAAAATTATCAATTTACTATGTTAGTTTATGATTTGTGTTTAAAAATCGAAATAAAATTGTGTTTTAAAGATATATGACTTTATTTAAAAAAAATAATAATCAAAAATACATCGAAAAAAACCAACTTATTTCCTAATGAGTCTTCTCATGATCAGCTACAGCTTTATTAAATTTAGTTTGGATGTCTTTTCCCATCTCCAAGAAGGAATCCAACATACTCTTAGTGAAAGCGTTCACATTTTCCCCAGCTTTTTGAGCACCCGGTTGAAGATTCTTCACCAATTGATCAAAAGATTCAGCCACTCCCTTGAAACTGGAATCGAATTGGGCTTTAATTTCATCGGCACCTTTTTTGATTTTCTTATCGGGATCGACAACTTTTCCAAGATCTTCGGTGGCTTTAGTGATTTTTTGTTCGAGCGCGAGGAGTTGAGCTTTAACGTCACCTTGATGAGCTTCAACTTCTTTGTCAAGACGTGCTTTTAAGGTGTTGAGATTATCGGAGAAGGTTTTAGCTTGATCGTTGAGGGTTTTCAAGACTTTTTCGGAGGAAATTTCATTAAGACCAAGGGTGTGGGTGACGTTTTCGGCGAGAACTTTAGCGTTGTTTGCTAAAGTTTCCAATTGGGATTTATCGGCTGGTTTACCAAAACATCCCTTTAAGAAACGAGTTCGATTATATAACGAAAATTCTTATCGGGTTATTCAAGGTTATCGAATAAATAAGAGGTTATCAAGAAAAAAAATTAAATCAGGATTCGCAAATGTAATTCAATAAATGTTTTAAATTATTATTAAAAATAATAATAGAGATTAAATAAAATTGAATTAAATTAAAAACGGAAATGAGTAATAAAAAATAATAATTGAAAAATAGCGAATCATAAATTAATTTATATTCAAGGTTACAAACATAAAATTGAGTTAAAAAATAATCTTATTTTATTAAGTTAAATAATATTTACCTGGAATGCGACGAAAGCAAGAACGAAAATGATGATTTTGGCCATTTTAATCTTCAAGTAGAAGAACGTTGGTTCTTTTCGTGTTCAGAACGAAGACCAAGTGAAAACTAGCTCATCTTTAGCTGCATCTTTGGTTTATATACAAACGGTTAATGTGACATTTTGACCCGGACAGCGAGATTTTGTTAAAACTTTTATAACCGTTAAAAGTTTGGACTTTTCAGGGTCGTTGATGTCGCAAAAACTTTATCGCAAATCGTTCCGCGATCTGATTAATTCATTTAAACCGATTAAGTAACGCATTCGAGAGTTTTCCACGAGAATTAGACGAATTTCAATTTCTTTTTGCACACATGCAACAACAACAACATTTTTATTTTTTTGTTTAGTTTGTATTCGTTTTAAATGGAAAACATTGCACATGATAATATTTAACGCGTAATACAACGATTCGAATTACGTTAATTTAGCAACTTTAAAAAAGGAAATTAAATAAATACTTAGACTATAACACAGAAAAAAAATTATAACATAATCTGTTAAATAATGAGTGTAATTTAATTAGATAGCTTAAAATAAAATGATTTAAGATATAATAATACTCATTAAATCACTTTGAGATTAATTTTTTTAAATTAATTAATACATTTAATATTAATTTTTAATTATTTTCCACTTTTAATTCATACTGTACCATGTACAGGGTGTCCCAATTTCGATGTCCGCATAGGCTATCTCCGAAACTAAAAGAGAAGGAAAAAAAGTAGCTTACATGTCATGATCTCGTTTTTCGAGGAAATGCTAATGACGAAAACTCCGAACAGCTATCGTCTTTTGTTTTCGGCCTATCGGCAAAAACTGAAAATTTTGCGAAAACGACAATCGCGAATATCTCACTTATTATCAAAGATGGAGTATTATAAATAAAACATTATATGGGCAACTTTTTACGAAGAATTCAGTGGCGTAGGTAGAATTTTTTTCCCATCTTTTATTTTCGAGATTTTAGACGTAACTTTATTTTTTTAAATGGAAACCATAGTTGGCTATGACTTAAAATAATTTGTTATTTTCTTCTGATAACAAATATATATAGTTTGTGGGGTATATTTCTTATAGTTATTGAATAATTAACAAAAATTCATTTTGTTCTATCTAAAACTAATGTATGTATTTAAAAGTTAATGTTGCTATGGTGATAACCATACATACTATGATGGAACATAATGTATCAAATAATTGCCAAAGTTTGTATTTAAAAATTCGATAACAACTCTGGCATTATGTGCTGGTACGATGCACCAGCATGTTAAGTGTCAAAGTATAACAAAACTGAATAAAACTTTACAATGAATTTCGAAAATTATGAAAAATGTAACATGATGGAATGCTATATGTTATCAGATAAGAATGCGACGTTAGCCGCGGAATTTTATTTCACAAGATATCCAGAAAGAAGACAACCGCACGTAAGAACCTTCAGCCGGTTAGCAGAAAATTTAATAGATATTTGGTCCTTCCCCAAACCACATACAAAAACATACCAAAATGACCTGCAAGAGAAATTGCAACAAGACGTCTGACCCAAAAGCCGCTGCTCCCGAATATGAAAGAAAAATAAGTATAAACCATACAAAGCGGGACTAACTCATTATTTACGTGCCGGAGATGTCAATCGAAGATTAGAATTTTGTAGATGATATTTAAAAAAATTAAATAATCTGCTGTTTGTTCAAAATGTTTTCTGGACCGATGAAGTCTCTGAGTGTTCAAAGAAGATTGGGGTTCAATGTATGGTGTGCCCTTTTAGATAATAGAATTTTGACATATAGTATCTACCATAAAAACTTAAACTCAGGGAAACACCTCAATATATTAAGGCAGCACATTGAGTCTTTGGTCGACAATTTGCCACTAAATATGTCTCAAATGATATATTTTCAATATGACGGAGCACCAGCACATAATGCCAGAGTTGTTAGTGAATTTTTAAATACTACTACAAACTCAAGGACAATAGAATCTAACAGGACTGCTACATCCATTGTTGTGACAGCCTACCCGCAAACTACGTCACAACATTTTCCACGCCCAGCTGTTGTTATGGTCTATGCGTTTGCTGTGTGTTTTTAGAGGTTATATCCTAGACGTATTTATATTAGTTTTGAAGTTTTATGTTTTTAGACGTATTAATGTCTATCATATAACCTCTAAAAACATAGACAGTTATCTACCAGGCGTGGTAAATAGTGTAACGTAGACTGCGGTGTAGCAGTCCTGTTAGATTCTACTGTCCTTGCTACAAACTTTGCCAATAATTGGAAACAATGCTTTCCCTCATGGTATGGTTATCACCATAACAACATTAACTTTTAAATACATACAATAGTTTTAGAAAGAACAAAAAAAATTGATACATTATATTCCCTCATAGTATGTATAGTTATCACCATAGCAACATTAACATTTAAATACATACATTAGATTTAGATGGAACAAAATGAATTTTTGTTAATTATTCAATAACTATAAGAAATATACCCCACAAACTATATATATTTGTTATCAGAAGAAAATAACAAATTATTTNAAATCCAAACGTTTGGCATCATCGCCGGCATCCAAATTCTGTCTAAATCGTGGTCTAAAGTTCAATTTTGTAAATTCTGGAGAGGTGCGATTTACTAATTTCAGTTTGTAACGCTCTTCTTCGGAGTGATAATTTTGGAGTTTCTTGAATGGAATTTAATACTATTAGAGAAGCAGCGTCTTCCTCATTTAGCCTCTTTGTCTGCTTCTTTATGGATAATACAGAACCCGTTTCCAAAAATATTTTCATAAGTTTGCGAGCCCTAACATGAAATATTTTTGTGTCCGGGTATTTTTGGTGGAATTTTTGTGTAACTACACGAAAACATGATTCACCAGTACCATAGCACTGTACTAAATAAATTCTCTCTTTCACGGTTAACATCGCATGAAAAGACTTAACCTCACTAACATAAGTTGTAACTTTTATGGTTTCTATGGTTACATATCATAAATTGAACTTGAAAAATTTTCAATTTAGAAAAAAGTCCAATTTTTACATAAAAATGGGAATAATTAGTTAACTTCTATAGTTAGAGCATAAAATTCGTGCGATATAGTAGTTTGAACATATCCGACGCATTATTTATGCTGAGATAAGTTTGAAAAACCAGTAATAAAAATTTGTTTCCTCTTTGTAACTCGATCCGGGGACATAATGTATATGAATGTATTTTTGGAAAATATTTTCGCATATACGAGGTGGTTCAAAAAATTGTGACTACACAAAATGTATTTCTTGAAATGGAACACCTGTATATTTTTGCATATTTGGATTTGTCTATTTTCAAAGTTTATGAATAACTACTTTTTGCAATTTGATTCGGCCGTTCTCGAGTTATTCGAATTTTTCTAGAAAAATCTGCTCCAGCAGACATTTGTTCAAAAAATCAGAGAACACTCGATTTTTGAGATATCAATTTAGGATTTAGAACATGCTTAAGCAACATGATGGAGTATGTTTTGGTGCCCAGAATGGCTGTCTAGAACCTTTGATCACTTTACTATGGCATATAATGTAAAGAATTGTAGACAGATTGTTGTATACAATAAACTCTTAATTAACTATGGCACATTAACTTTTCGAAATTTGGATGTACCATAACTTCATTTTTTTAAATGGCACCCCCCATATTTTATTGCTTAGTCGTCTTCGGCGTCTCATTTTACTTCTTTTATATCCGATATGTCCTATACCTAACATTAATAGTTTGGGAGATAATTAGAATTTTTTGAAAAATGCACCCATATATCGATATTTAACCTAGTGTGTTGGTTAATTTTTAAACCAGTTTTTCTTAAGATTTTCAAATGGAACACCTTGTATATTACTTTACTATCTTATGCAGAATTTAAATACAAATATTTTTTGTAATACAAAGTGTCTTAAAATTCTAGACCGTTCTCAAGATATTTAGCAAAAACCACAAATGCGCCGATTTTGTAAGTAAAATATTAAAAAAATTGTAGACACTCATGGAAACACAATAACAACGTTTATTTGACAAATAATAGACAACCTAAGCCCTGACGTCACAGTGGTGGGCGGAGCTGATATCGACTCCAAACATTTTCGTTGCTAACTGTGTTGCTAACGATAAATTTCCATATGCAATTTTTCATTTAGTGTTAAAATAAAATAAACTAAGTGATATTTTAAATGACATTTTTTGGCGGTTTATCGTTAGCAACTGTGGTTAGCAACGAAATTGTTTGGAGTCGTTATAAGTTCCGCCCATCTCTGTGACGTCTCATGGAAATCCTTGAAGGATACGAAATCAAAAAATTCATCAAGAATAACCCTGATTTAGCATGTGTAAACGACCAAATCCAGACAACACACAAACCACTGTACTCTTTCCTAAAACAACCCTACACCCCATCCAGTAAACACCCCAGATAGACGAGGACTTCAAAACATGATGTCATTTTGAAGTTGCACTAATCTGGGTCCCATGGACATCACCCCCATCTTTTCCACCTTATCCTCATCCCATAGCAACCCCTAACAATTTATACAGAATTTATAATATACCTCTACCCAATAAAAACCCCCCAGAGAGACCAGGATTTCGGAATAAGATGTCACTCTGAAATCGCACTACTCTGGGTCCCATGGATATCACCCCTATCCCTTCTCTAACCTATCCTTTAACATCCCTTTGTCCCTTAACAACTCCTACCTTAATAATTTTTAGATTCTATATTACAACCCACCCAAATAATAACCCCCCAGATTAGACGAGGATTTCAAAACAAGGTGTCATTTTGTTATCGCAATTTTCTGGATCCCATAGACAGCACACCTATCCTTTTATATCCTACCCTTAACCATATAAATCCCCACCTTATTATTATTATTGCTGCCGGGCTGAGGAGAGCGGCCCCTCTCGTTACCGCGACCTATAAGATCTATTGTAACTTTAGGCCTCCAAAGGTTTAGGGCAAATGTAGGTCCTTAATGAACCTTAGTATTGTCCTGAGGTCTTGAACCTTTATGTCGGTAGGTAACAGGGGAGTTTTACCGAAGACGTTGTGT